CACGAGCCATACCAAGCCAACACTAGGCGTTGGCTAGTACTGTATGAGGCCAACCTTAGGGATTGGCTAATATGCACACCACATCATCTTTGGAAGTTGGCCAAAGGGTTGTGCCCAACACCCATTCAAGGAAAATGGTGGGCATTGGCTAATACATGCAACAAACTAACATGGACGTTGGCCAATACGAGCACAAGGCCAACGCCGGACATTGGCCGGTGCATGCATAAGTTCAACATCGAGCGTTGGCCAATACGTGCGCTAAGCCAATGCTAGGCATTGACTAATAGGCATGTCGAGCCAACGTTGGGCGTTGGCCGGTGAGGCATACCCATATGCAATGACCGAGCTCGTGCTAGGCACGAGCCGAGCCATTGCTTGCCCGAACTAGCTTGTGGGCCTCAAAAGCCCAAGGTCCAAAAAATTAAATTTGAAAATTATGTGTTTTTTCATAAAATGACAAAAAAAAATAATAGATTTATAATTATCATAAAATAAAAAATATTTCATTTTTTTTAAATGTGTTTCAATGTGATTGAAATATAAGTGAATGGTATGGATGAGTCGATCTAGTTTTTTAGAATGTATGCTTATAATTCTTAGTTAAATAGGACTCGTGTGTCCTACCTTTTCTATTGCTCTTATGTATCTTCTTTTCTCATCTCACTCCTTGAATGGAACTAGAGGTTTTTTATTTAAAAATTATAAAAATAAAAGATAGATTAGTATAATAGATACAAAAAAAGATGTTAAGAAAGGAGACGAAATTCAAATTCAAATGAAGATTTAAAAGTTTTTCACCTAAGTATTAACCCACTAATCTCCTTATAACTCGAAAAGAATCTAGAAATCTACTACCATTTATCAATCCTTAAGTCCTGTATGTGTAGTATGCATGATAGATTTAAATATGTGATTGAACTCTAGTATGCATGATATGATTGATTTGATTAATCAAATGATGAGACCTAATAAAATAAAATCATTCAAACAAATATCAAGTTATTTGCCTTCGAACTATTAGTCAATTATGAAGCTAGCAATAGGTAAGTAATTTTTTTAAAAAAAAAACTAAAATAAGTCAAATCTGAGTACGCTAAGGACCTTGTGGAGGCCTATTGATTATTTTATTTTTCATGAAATTGTTTTTCTATGTTCTATGATTTTTTTTACATGTTTTTATGACTTGTACTTTATGTGTTTATTTTATGTGATGCCAATCTAGGCCAATCTATATGAAGTAAGTTTAGGACTTGAGATCGATTTTGTTTCGTCATGATTTTGTTCGATGATAGATCCCTTTTTTTCTATTATTTTATTTTATTGTTTATGTGCTTTGAGTTAATTTTTATTTTTTATGCTAATAATTTCTTCTTTTTGTAGATTTAGCTTTGAATTTAGGTTTTGAGCCCAATTTAATTTTTTATTGTGACATGCGGGGTAATATGGGCTTGAAGCCTACATCCGTTTTTTTTTATATATATATATCATTGCGAACTTGTAATTATTATTTTTTTTCATGGTTTGGTAGGTGAACTTGGACTCATGGTCTATGTTCATTTTATTTTTATTTTTGCATTCTTATATGGGATTAGGAATTAATGTATCATGGGCTTTTAGCTTTAATTTTTACAATTTTAAATGGACTTCAATGGCCTAATGACATTTTAGATGAGAGACTAAGTCTTCTTTTAGTCTTCAAGTCATCTCATTTAGTATTGATTAAAAAACATCCAAATAATCAAACACGTAAATCAAGATAGAAAAGGTAATTTGTAAGAATAAATTTCCGAAAGCTAGAAATATAAGGTAACCTTATGCCGAGGGCACACTAAGGTGATTATAGTCTTCCCTAGTTGTGTAATCAACCTCATTTCTTAGAACTCTTAAGACCAAAACTAGTTTTTCTTACTTTTCATCTTTTGAAAACCGAGTGGCAACTCCACACATATACATTTTTTTTCATTTTTTATGATTGTCGAGAGGTCACCGTGGGATACGAAACATCCTTGAAATAAAAAACCCTATCTATAATATGCATCCATTCGATGAAATTTTTGGGATTGAGCCTTCATCAAGCTAATTGTTAGTGGGCTTTTTGTTTTCCTTCACATTTCCTGGATTAGTTTCATAAATAATTCCCAAGAAATTCACCTTTTCTTTTTCCTTTTTTCTTAAAATAATTTAGTTGATAATGTAAAGATACCATAAAGGTTAATGTGATGAGCACAAAATATATGATTTTCTATTAAACTTATTTATTATGATTAGAAATGTGATGAACACAAATTTTGTTCTACACTGAATTTTGTTGTCTTAAAAAAACATCAAATTTGAGACAACAAATTATAAACTAAAATGTAAAGAAAAACATATTTTAACCAAATTTTATTTGGTGTAGCCGATCGTATTCAAATTGGCTCTCATACTCTTGTACAACAAAAATGACACATTATTCTTAATTTAACAAATGATAGTTTATAGTTCTATCATTTTAACCCATTCTCTATTAATTACCAATATATAATGGGTTCTTGTGCTGCAAAAATTATAGATAATGAAGTTAAAAAAAATTTAAAAAAAGTCCATAGTCTCGCCAAGCATGCAGTTTAACTAGATAGACATAGCATTGCCATAAAAAAAAATGATCATGACACTACAAAAAATTAAGCCTCAAGTAATGGAGTGATTCAAAAGGTTCTTAGTCACTAAATGTATGTATTCCATCATTATTTTCTTTTAAGGATGAAATCTTGATGAAACCAGATTGTAGGTAAAACCTTTGTCGCTAATAATTTTAGCGACAAAAGTTAGTATTCATCATAAAATTAACGACGGATAAGTTGTCTCTAAAGTGAAGTACTTTTATTGCCAATGTGATGTAAACAATTAGTTTGTAATTGTAACATCTATCGTAGTACTATCGATAAGTTGTTTTACTTATGTAGCTATATAGAGAAGAAAATCCCTCACAAAATTTGGTCATTAAACCATAGCCTAGTGTCGTTAATAGAACGATAAAAATTTCTACTATCCATTGACAATTTGTCGATGGAATCTATAATCATTGGTCTATCATATAACAATAGATTCGATAGTTATTCATTAGTAGTTGATAAAATTTACTCTTTTTTTTCCATCGTTAGTTAAACGTTGATCCATCGCTAATGAAGAAAATATAATTTTTTTAATTTTTTATTAATGGTTTAATGTTTAATTATAGTAGCAAAAATCTAAAATTAAAATTATAACCCGAAATATTATTATGTAAAATAAAAATAATATAAAATCAAATCAAATATATACAAATGTGTTCTAGTATATGAAAATAACAAAAATCTATATATATATAAAAAAAAAGCTAGTCTAATCAAGGAGGTACAAGTAAGAGATCATCATCATCATTCGAGGTTGTTAGAATGGGGAGGAAAGGGCGGTTGTTGGGTATGGGGAGTGTAAGAAGGAGGGAAGCACGGTTGTTAGGTTGGAGGAGGGTAGGGTGGGTGAATGTGAGCCTCGTATCTCTTGATCCGACATCACAAGGGTTTTTGAGTGAGGGGGAGAAGAAAATAGAGGAAGAAATAGGTTACTCCAAGGTTAAGCTTTTTTATTATTATTAGTGATGGATGCAATTTCATCGCTATTCATAAGTATGTGTCATTGTTTGAACTTACCAAATTATGTTATTTGTCTCTTATTGATGATGGTAATCCATCGCTGATTTAATTATCAAAAATTTACCACATAATTCAATGATTGCAATGTTTCGTCATTGAATTGTTGTCGTAAATTCGAAGGTACTCCATCATTATTAACTTAAAATGCTTGAAAATTGATAACGATCGTTACTTATTTGTTATTTTATTGCTATATATCGATAACTTCATGTCCGTTGTTTTTTTTTTTTTTATAAAGTGAAAAGCATACGGACATGGGGTTTTCATCCGAAGGAAAAACTAAAAATGAAATGCTCACGACTTGGATAGTGTGCAACTTGTTTATATAGACATGGCGTTGCCATAAAAAAAATAGCTAACATGAAATGCTACAACTCGGTTTGATATAACTTTGCCGGATTGGCATGTCTCTTAATAACTTTTGAGTTGTTTTTGAAGTTATTAGATTTGTGTTTTATCGGGGAGTGAGTTTCTTTATATTGTGAGAAATATAAGCTATGCTTTTAATGTGTTGGGATAAATGACTATAAGGCCATAAGAAAGAGAACCCATAATTATAAGAAAAGCCAATCTATTAGTAAAAGAGAATCCAAATTTTATACCTCATCAAAACCAATATTCGCTCGGTCTAGTTTTTACTTTTGTAGAATCAAGTCCTAAGAAACATATTCAATCAACCAATTTCACTTAAAAATAGAATGCAAATAAATCTTCAATTAAATCTTCGAAAGAAAACACAAGTATGAGAACTTTGTTTCATTTTGAATCGGTCGTGCAAGTGAATCTCTAAATTGAAATTCTATATGGAAATTGCATAATCTATAGGGAATGAGCTTTTGTCCAATTAGCCAAAAATAGGAAAGTGACTAAAAATACAGAGAAAATGATATCTATTTCACCCTTTTATACGGTTATATAATTATGTTGTTGTTGCTTCTCTTTCTCCTTTTTTCCTCCACTTTGGGAGCTTTCAATGAAAATCTTCTCTTGGTTTATTTTTTAAAAAAGAAAAAAAAAGAAAGGAAAAAAAAAGGAAAGGAAAAAGAAAAATATTTAGGGATAAGGTTAATCCTTGATTAATGACCTTATTGACAATTGAGTCCCTAGCATATATTTTTTACAACTTGGGTTTTCAATGTATCTAGAAATCCTTAATTTGATCTTTGCATGAATAAATTAATGTGTTTAACATTTTTCATATGGTGGGGATTCAATCCAGATAGTTCTCGAGCAAATTTTTTTATAGAAGGACCCAATTGAGGATTCTAGGGTATGTTGGGACTCGATTGATTAAACATATAGGTTTGAGATTAAAATGTGAAAATGGCTATCGATTGGGGACTCATCGGAGGTTACCCCGGGAATTTACCACTGGCTACGCCTCGAAGTGTATATATCTTTTACCACTCTTAATAAAGTCTCCAAAGTTTTTGCTATTTTTAGTATAAAAAAAGAGAGTAAATTTTAGATATACTGTACACTTTAATTAGCTAGCATGCATATATATATATATATGCACACACACATTCTCACAACCAAAGCATGCATGTGCTGTGTGCTGCGATAACTACACTTACCAAACTCAGAGAAAGTAAGTAAGTTTTATGTTGGCCTACCTAGAATGTTTGAAGGAAACCTTAAATTCTCATCAAACTATTCTGACTTATGGAATTACTAATCTCGTACCATCCGGTATTATTTTTTATGTTATTATTATTATCTTTTTCTTTTCATCGGAAAGTTTGTGGGCATAGTAAAGAGTAGCCAATAAATTTTATATTATTTAAAGAGTAGTTAATATAATTATTCAATAAGAATAAAAGAGAATAAAAAAAATGTTTGGGTTGAAGCTTGTGTGTATATATTCTTAATTGTTAGTATGCCTATATATTTACTCTATTATAATGGTTTTACGACAAAAGATTGTTCTCATTCTATTATAATTTGATAATTTTATTTCTTTATTATCAATTTATGTAATTTAAATATTAAAATCTCGATATTTAGGTAAATCTTATTCAAATTCGTTAATTGTAACAATCAATCTAATTGATCTGCTAATTTTTTCTCGCTTTTTTTTTTTTTGCTATTAATTTAAAAAAAAATGTTAAAAAAGCTTTTTCTCCCTTTTTCAAGAGATATTTATTTTTCACTCATTCACTTATAAATAAATAAAAAATTTCATTAAACTTATCACTTTTTTTTTTTTTTTTTTTTTTTGTTCTCCTTGAAAAAGAGCTTTCACTTTTTGATCTTTAAAAAACTAAAAAAAAAAAGAAAAAAAAGAAAAAAATTTTAAAATGCTTTTCTAACTCTAAAAATTTTAAGTGTATATTTTATATTTGAATCATTTCGAGGAAAAACAAAATCCTATAAAACATGTGAAGATAAAAAAATATTAAATAAATATAGCTATATTTAAAATTTAATTATTGACAATCACAAAAATATATTTCTTGGCATAACAAAAGACAAGTTTCAGTTAAAACTAATAAACGAGTAGAAAAAAATTAACGGTTAACTGATTTGATAATTACAAATAACGAATTTGGATAAAATTTGTTTAAAACTCGATATTTTAGGATTCAAATTAGGCAAATTGATAATAAAAGTTTGAAATTATCAAATTGCAATCGAACGGGGACAATTTTTGTTATTAAACCCAATTATAATAATATAGAAAAAAGATATGATCATAAAATTACTTCTATTTTTTGACACATCAGCTGCTTATTCAATAAGGGTACCATATTATAAATAAATAAATAAATTGAATAAACAAAAAAGGTATTATATTAAGCTATGTATGGTTGGAATTTCGGTGTTAGTGGAACCCAGCTTAAGATATATTAACATGATAAACCTATGTTTTAGGTCTTGAAGATCACCTAAATTGAAATGACTAAGTAGTTGTATTTGATACTGATAGGCCCTTTTTAAAACTTATTCAAGTTGGAATATACAAAATCTAGACCAAAAGCACAAGCTAGTTTAAGTTGTCCAGACTAACTACGTGGTGCAACAAACATGGACATGGCTAGCTGTTGGTGACCGAAAATTAACGTTAATTTTTTTTTTGGTATATATATATAATTTTGTACGTAATGAATAACTTGCATTAGTAAACCTGGGAAAAATCAGAATAAATAGTTGCACTTAGGTTATCAGTCACCAACAACTTCCTATCCTCCGAAAAACTCTTCTTCTCTCATAAAAGTGTCAACCCTATTTGTAGTAACTCTCACTTGACACACAAACAATAGCTGCTCCACATTCTCCTTCGCTAGACACCAAAAATATTCCGTTACCCACGAAAGAAAAACAGCAATTTGGCCAAAACTATCCAATTCCGTAAGTAGTAGTAGAATTGTTCGGTTTAGTCACATAAAACAGCAGGAGCCCACACATTTTCAGCTCACCAAATCATACCAATTGGGCCAAAAACTCCACGCCAAGAAAACGCACAAATACATTGCTCGATCCCTTAAAACGCATGACCACCTCCTATAGCCATAAACAACAACATCGTTTCTACAATAGTCCTATTCCCTATCACCCCCAACACACCATGATCAACCCTAGCAACAACGATAACCTCACTTCCCTTTCCTCCTCGTCGGATGATGTTGCCAGAAACTTCATTTCGCGGGGACTAATTTTCTTGCAAGATATTCAAATTTTAGAGCTTCTCCTTGCCCTTCTGGTCTTCGTTGCTATACATTCTCTAAGGCAGAAAAAGCATTGTGGCCTGCCTGTATGGCCGTTTCTAGGCATGCTACCATCTTTGGTTTCTGGTCTTCAAGGCAACATGTATGAATGGATTTCCGACATACTTTGCGATCGAAATGGGACTTTTGAATTCAAAGGTCCATGGTTTAGTAGTCTCAATTGTGTAGTGACTGCAGATCCAAGAAATCTTGAGCATCTTCTCAAGACCAAGTTCCCTAATTACCCCAAAGGCCAATATTTTCGCGACACAGTGGGTGATCTTCTCGGTGGAGGAATATTCAATGCTGATGATGAGAAATGGCATAGGCAAAGAAAGACAGCAAGCATTGAGTTTCATTCAACAAAGTTCAGGCAATTAACTACTGAATCATTGCTTGAACTTGTCCATTCTAGGCTCTTGCCAGTCCTAGAAAACGCAGTGAACAACTCAACAGCCATTGATATACAGGATATTCTGTTGAGGCTAACATTTGATAATGTCTGCATGATAGCATTTGGGGTTGATCCAGGATGTTTGCGTCCGGGTTTGCCTGATATACCATTTGCTAGAGCCTTTGAAGATGCAACAGAAGCTACTTTGCTACGTTTTGTTACACCAACATGCATATGGAAAGCTATGAGGTATCTTGATTTGGGGTCCGAAAAGAAGCTGAAAATATCAATAAAAGATGTGGATGAGTTTGCAGAAAATGTCATAAAGACAAGAAAAAAGAACTTTCAATGCAAAGTGAGGATGATAGCATGAAGCAGAGGTCAGATCTTTTAACAGTGTTTATGGGGTCAAAAGATGAGAATGGGAATCGATTCTCAGACAGGTTTCTGAGAGATATTTGTGTAAACTTTATTCTTGCTGGCAGAGACACTTCTTCAGTGGCAATGAGTTGGTTCTTTTGGCTTCTTGATTCACATCCAACAGTAGAGGAGAAAATCGTTTCCGAAATATGCAAGATAATTGGTGAGAGAGAGGATTTGAACACCAAAGCTCCAATAGTGTTTAGGCCAGAGGAGATCAAGAAGATGGACTATTTGCAAGCTGCTTTATCTGAGGCCTTGAGATTGTACCCTTCAGTGCCAGTGGACCATAAGGAGGTAATTAGAAGCAAACTTGCTCATATTTACTGATGCTAATTAATTTTACCGAATATTTTTCTTCAAATCACTTCCCAAAAATTAATTTCATGACCTCATAAATATTATATTATGTTTTTCACAAGTGATTTCGAGAAGAATCATCGTTAATCAAGATGAACATTATTCTTTCAAGTAGTGCTACATGACATCAATGATATAAAAAAAAAAATTATAATAATTTTATAAGAGTAGTGTTTTTTAGAAGGGACACAAAAGAGAGAAAAAGATAGATAATTTTCGATGAGTGTATTATATCATTTCTCTTTTATCATTTTTTATTATATATAATTTATTGAGAATCATGTTTCATGCATGCATACCATGCAATTATAATAATTTCTCATACAATCTTCCAAAATTGCGACATTAGTTTCTTAGAGATGAAGCATTTAGATCTTTTCTAGAGCATTTCTTACCCATTAAGATAGAGAATAATCACCCTTCAAGAAAAGCCAAGTCCTTTCTCTTCCTTTTTAAGCAATGGTACGTACGTGCCATTGGACTACACGCCCAATGATATTTCATCCAATTGCAAGATTTATATACGTTCAACCAATCAAAAACCTTCATGTAATTATATACCGTACATTCAAGCATATCTCTTTGGAAAACTTAACTTGTGAGGAATGAAAACTAGTTCTGAGTATTTCTTTAAAGAATTTGTCAAATTTTGTCCCTTACTTGAAGTATTATAATACTTGATCAATTCCTTGGTAACCTAACAGTACGTATGTTTGGGTATCGTGGCTAAGCTTTGTTTGGTTACCATAAAACACCAGTTAATTGACTCATAAAATAAGGGAAATTTCGAGGCCCTAGAAGTAGGTGAAGATTGAAGCAGGGACCGGAGTTAGTTGAATCAATTTTCATTGAAAGGCTAAAACAGTTTTTACCACCTCTTGAAAAGAGTCATTTTTCCTTGCAGAAGCCTCTTGGTAAGAGAGTCATTCTGCTCACACCACTTACACAAAGCCATGAACACAGCTTCTCGTTCACCGTGAGCAAAGTGAATTTTGACCCGAGAATACCTTAACCATTAAAACAATATACATAGATAGATAGAGAGAGAGAGAGAGAGAGAGAGAGAGAGAGAGAGAGAGAGAGTATACTAGTCTTTCTTTTTCATGGAGAAGGAAAATAGTGAATAATAAATACATTTTCATTTTCTTTTGCCTCCAATGTTTTGTAGGTTGTCGAGGATGACATTTTTCCTGATGGGACTGTACTAAAGAAAGGAACAAAAGTAATCTATGCAATATATGCAATGGGAAGAATGGAGGCAATATGGGGAAGTGACTGCAGGGAGTTTAAGCCAGAAAGATGGTTAAGAGGCGTCGATGGACGGTTCATGAGTGAATCAGCCTACAAATTCACTGCTTTCAATGGTGGTCCTCGACTATGCTTAGGAAAAGACTTTGCTTACTATCAAATGAAATCTGTTGTGGCATCAATCTTGTGTCGCTACCATGTGAAGGTGGTGAAGGATCAAGTTGTGGTGCCTAAGCTTGCTTTGACAATGTACATGAAGCATGGCTTGAAGGTGAATCTAGTTAAACGGGAGGAGTCTGAGCTTCAAAAGTACCTTCATGTCTAGAAGTAATGTTGCTACAACAAGAGCAGGGCATATATATATATATATATATACAGTTATGATTTGTTTTTCCATTAATTGTTTATGTATAAATATATTATTGGGATTTGCACGATTAATTATATCAGTTGTTGAGATTTGAGGGAATGTAGAGGGAAAAGATGGATGCAGTTTTTAGTTTAGGAAACTACACTTGAATAATGGATTGGATTTGGATTATTGTTTATAAAGATTATCATTATTGATCTAAGGAATTATATTGCGGTGTTTGATGACTGATGCATTCAAATAACAAATTGATTGATTCGAAATTTCTTCTCCTACACACTTCTTCTTTTGTAGTATTTTTGTTTAATTACTCAAAAGTTAACCAACTTGATTAATTACTTGTTTCAAAAGGTATCTTCTCCTCAAAACATGAATTAATAGCCACAACATCATATATATATGATACTTTATTTAATAAATTTTAACATCGCATTTAGTTTACTCCAATTTCTCAAAAACATATAACCTCATCGATCATCAATAACAATGAGACTTGTTAATCTTTTTAGAGAATGAAAGATAGTGACATCGTTTTTTTTCATCAAAACAGCATTATCAACCTACTTGATCTATCATAGACTTCATAAAATAAAGGGATCGATATAGATATATATATATAGAGAGAGAGAGAGAGATTAAAAAGCCTTAAAATCTAACACAATTAAAAAGTAAGTATAAAAAAAGACAAGATAAATTTAAAACCTAGAAAATCAAATCCCAAAACCTAGAATCCAAATACCATTTGAAACTAGAAATTCAAGTCCAGCGACCCTTAAATCCAAAGCCATTAAAAGTTTAAAAAAATAATAATAAATAATAATTGGGGAATGGAGGGACACTTTTAGAACAATACAAAACTAAAGAGATAAAAAAAAGTTTTGCACCACTCCCCATGGACAACAATAACTAATATGTCCAAGTTTAGGTTAATATATACACACACACACACACGCATACAAGTTCTTTTTCTCTATAGGATGCATCATTGTGGCCATCAGATAGCACCAAGAAATGCATCTAAGAAGTCACGAGAGTCAATTGCTATACAGAACCACAGACATGTATCTTCAAAAAGAAAAAGATATCATCCACCTCCATTGCTGAAATAAAGCTTTCAGCTTACATATTAGCACTTGCCAAGTGCTTATTCATTTGAAATAATCACCCACTTTAAATTCTCAATAATACATTAGCGTATCTTCCCATCTCAGCAGAATGTATTGCCTACTGGCTGCATCATTGTGCACTAATGGAAGCAAAGACAATCGCAAAGAAAAAGATACAAGCTTTGCTCAATAACATCACTAAACATCGAAATTTTTACCTTCATCAAGCTCGCCCATCCCATTCTTCATAGAACTCTTTCAAAAATTCCTCCATGAACTTGTGTCTTCTCTCAGCCCTCCTCTGCCCAGCCTGTAACATGTATCGATATCAGATGCATACTTAAAATTTCCAAATGTGTGATTCATAAATGCTCGACATTTATTCTGTGTAGTTCAACAATTAGACAGTCATGCTAGCAAAAGAAATGATGAATAAAAACAAAACTAGTTCAATAGTATGAAACCTGAAAGTCAATGGGTGTACCTTTGTTTTCATCAAATCCTTCAGCTTGAGAAGTTTCTCGTGAAAGTGGTTCACAGTTGTCTGCTCTTCTTTCTTCATATACTGTTCCTTGGACAAATCTGAACGTGGGTAAATTGCTGGGTCATGAAGCACCCTGTTCCTACTTCCACCAAAAGTAAAGCATCGAGCGATACCTACAATTGAGTTATAATTTAGTGATTGTGTGATAGATACAACTTCATTTGTACGCAGGCATCTGGCTGGCTGGAAAATATGCAGCCAATGCATAACCAAGTAAATAAATATACAAATTGAAAATGACTAAAAATACAAGAACCAAGATGAAAATGTATAGACCCAAGATCCTGTTTGAACTTGTCAGAACATCAAGTAAAAAGAGAATTGCAGAGGTGAATCGCAATTACCAACTGCACCAATTGCATCAAGCCGATCAGCATCCTGCACTACCCCAAATTCAGGAGAGAACCCACCATTTGCATGCCCTGCGAGTTCCTCCTTAAAACCTGAAAATAGGAAAGTGCCTGCAATAATTACTTTCTACATCCACCAATATAAGTTCCACATTAACATGATGCAAAAGAATCAATAAACTGGGAAGTATGAAGTCAATAAAACCTTTCAAAGCATCAATCGACAACATAAATGCATAGTCCATTTAGAGGTGCTCGAGATTAAAATTGTTTGTTAATTATGCTATTGTAGTTTTTAAAGCTAACATAAAGTATAATATCAACTAGACTGTGAGAGGAACCACAGTTAAAAATCCATATAGATTTTCAGTCCAACAGAAGCTATATGAATACTGCACAACATGCAGAAAAATTTGAAGAATCCATAACTAAGGTCAAAAGATCAATAGATAAGTAAATAGAAGGTATTGTTAAGAATGCACCCATCCATAGATTTTACTTGTACAGTAAACGAAGATTAAGAAATGCACCAATTCGATATTCAAAAGACACAAATATTAAGTTTCAAAACCCATTAACTATGCAAAAATCAAAAACTTAAGCTTACAATAATCAGCCATAAATATTGAGCGAGGCTGTTAGAAATATGCTAATGATGAAATATAATGCTCATATGATCAAATAATCATCTAAAATTATACCTTAAAGAATTTAGCAGCAAAATTATTACTTATATTACTGAATTTTTTAACTGCTAAGAAGAATATAAGCATAAATTGAAATCAAACAAGAACAGCGCTTCAGAACCATAATAATTGCTATCAGGGTAACTTACCCATCCCCTTAGTGATTGCTAAGATTTTCATCCTTTTCACTTCATCCACACCCTCTTCCTCGAGAAAATTCTCAACAATTTTCTCCTCGGATGGATCTCTACATGGCCAAATGGAAGCTTTAATTATCAGGGAATCAAAAAAAATAAGAAATAGTCACTTGGAGAGCAATCTAAAAAAACAAAAGAAGAAAAAGAGTTTTCATAAAACAATAGTGAAAGAGAGAAGGAAGTGTGTCAAAATCAAACAACTGTAAACCAGTCACTAAGCTTTACAGTTCTCAGAAATAGATATGAGTGTCTCTCTCTGAACTAATACCAACAAACAGAGTCAAGTTCAGGTGGATATGGCTAATAGGTGGCAAGAAAACAAGTTGTATATGATTGCAGCTATATACAGGTCAGTAGCGAATGAACAGAATTGAGAGTGGGTGCATTTTATGGAAACCCAAAAATGTCATCATAAGTGTAGTTATCGATAGAACGAAAACACAAATAACATAACAGACACTTCTGAGCATTAATTCATCAGGAATAGCTAAACTACTGCATGAAATTCTCATAATTTTAAACGCATAAAAGCATAACACAAATATTTTGGCATGATTTTGAATGAAAGGCAACACAATTCAGAAGAATCACCAACCTTAAGTATTTGTAGTCACCTGCAGTAAGTGCCAAAAAGTAAAATGATTAATTGTTTCATGATATGATATCAACAAATAATTACAACTAGACACTGTAAAACACGCAGAGAGGATGAAATGAAAGTCAACAAGATAAAGAATTTACAAAAGCATGTTTCAGTTAGTATTCACATTCATCCCAGCACCACTAGAATCAGCAAGTGATGCAATCAGTACCTCACAGCTAAAATTCTCAAGAAATGCATTGGAGATTGCTAAAAGCACAGATGGATAAGTATAAAGGCACACATGTAGAATGTGTCCAACCATTCATCACAAGTTATCCCATACAAGTTCATGAGGCCAACTTCTAGGTAACCATCCTACTTCCATGTAAACACACCCATCCAATTTCAAAATCCACAATTATTTTATTTTCAACTTATTGGATGCCAGATTATTTGCAAGTCCGAAAGTAGGAGTTGGAAAGAGGATGACCAATATCATGAAGAAGTGCAGCAAGCTCTACCTGCCATAGAAGACAATTTAAATAATGTCACATGAGGAAAAAAAATAGTGGGAACAAGAATTGTCCAATCTATTCACCTAACAAATCCAGTGAAGTTCCAGTTATGAAAAGTTTGTAATCTATTTTCAATGTCAAGAAGACAAATCAACGGAGCTTTACTACTAACTACTTGCAACTGCTCAAGACATCTAACCCCAACATGGGAGATTGAAACTTAGACACCTTTAAATGTCCCCGTCTCTAAATATATGATTCTTCCATTGTGTCATAGATGGCGATTAAAATTACAAAAGCATATTCGAAAATGGGATTATCAAAGGAAAGGAATCAAGAACTAAGCTGATGACAATGGATCAAATTATGTTCTTTTTAACATGAATTCTTAGTTTCTCACTATAAAATTTGAAATTTATTCCCAACATCCAGAAGACAAATCAACAGAGCGTTACTCACAACTAGCCACAGATACTCAAGACATACAATTCAACAGCAAAGATTGAAACTTTGGGGCATCGTTCCATGTTCGCAATCTCTTATATCAAATTTCCATATAGATAGCAATTAAAATTTACAAAAGCATGTTTGGAAATGGGATTATCACAGGAAAGGAATAATAACAAATCGAGATGTCAGGGAAATCGAGTTAAACTCTTTCTAGGATAAAATCTCAGTTTTTTTATTTTTATTTTTACTATTGATAATCAAGATGATAGCTTCCTTCCCCCATTCCATTGCAACTATTAACTATGAGATCAGACGAAAAAACACCATCTAGTACAAAAAAATATAGCTTTTTGCAAAACAGTGTACTAGAGCATAACAACATTATCATCATTTGAACAATCATTTATTCACCAAAAACTCCCTCATTTGAACCATCTCATAAGAAAAACAAAAACCCAGAATCAAAACTAGCAGGAAAAATGCCAAAATGCCTCATGTGAAACTAGAAATGGCAATATTAAAAGAAAAATAAAAACCTGGGTTCCACATGTAAATCACAAAGCAATCATATTTATAAGCACTCAAAAGCAAAACAGGACTAAAGAGATGCTAAGAGTAAAGAAAGAGAGGTTTAGTTTAAAGGGTTTACTATTTCCATTGAATCAGAAGAGAGGCCTTCTTCTTGAGCAAGAGATAGGGCAAGGTCTCTTACTCTCCATACATGAGCTGCATCATGTGACGCGTCGTTTCCTTTCATGGTTCTTTCCACCAACTTTTCTGCATTCTTCACTGTTGTCTCTCTACTTGCCATCTCTCTTTCTCTCCAGAGACAAACTGATGTCTCCAAGCACAATTTTTCTGTGTTACAGAATTCATGTCATAGAATGTGTTTTTTTTTTTCTTTTAGTTACCGTGGCTGTAAGTCAATTACGTAAACAGATGAACTTTTACTTACTTTTCCATTAAAAAAAAAAAAACCAGTGACTGGAAGTAGCGATCAGCTGGTTTGCGTTTGTTTTTGGGTCAATTCAAAACAATGGACAGTGTTTTAGGCTTTTGCCTGTCAATCATCAAGTCCAAACTAATTGAGTTGTACTTAGTTGACTAGGATAATGTCTTTATTGCCCTATCTTTAAACACCAGACTTCAGAAACGTTGCATATGACGCTTTTAAAGTATAATCTACTTCTTCTACTAAGCATTTTGGTAATTATTTCTTATGGTATACAAAAATTATTATTTGATCAATTATGCATTCAAGATATACAAAGTTCATTTAGGGTCTTTATATTATAAAAATCATGATGATATTTGTGTTAACAATAGAGTTATGGACCAATGAGATTATCCTATGAGTGATACTTTTCCTCAAGCAAAAGGGATGAGATCTAAGTTGAGATAAAAACTTAGAGATCTCAAGACGACTTCCACTTGTGTCTATCTATTATTGGATTTAGGTCATATCTAGACTCTTCACTTTGCAAATTTTTTCAACTGAGATTTGTTTTTTTTTTTTTTTTTTTTTTTTTTTTGGGTATTATTAAGATCATTTGCTCTCCAATTTGTGTTATTTGAGAACTATTATAACACCAATTAATTGTGAGCTTTTGTGGTGATGATGTGGCAATGGTGTGGCGATGATGTGGTGAGTTTCTTTTTAAATATGTTATAAGTGTCATATATAGAATCTCAATTAAAAAAACTTAACATACAAAAATCTAATTGTACAAATAGTATAAAGTAAGGATCAAAATGTTTTATGAAAAATTTGAGCAAAAAAATATAAATAAAAGGCTGAATTTAAAATATTAATTTTAAGGATCAAAATAACTTTTCTAAAAATTACAATAACTAAAATGAAATATTTTAACAAATTATTTTTAGCATTATCTAATTGTTAATGAATAGAGTATTAAAAATGAGATTTTGAAAATTTGACCAATTCAAAATGAAATAAAGAGTTACTCTCTCAAAAAAGCTTGAGCCGACATCATTTTTTTTAATATAAATAATTAGTTACTACTAATTATTATAGTTATTTTCATTTTAATTTTGATAAACATAATTATACTCATTTTTTTAATTGCATATTAGGTTCATTTTGTATGTATTTTGTTATTTTAAAATTATTATGATATTCTTTATATGCAAAAAAAATACTATTCGGAGTTTTACTCGTGATAGGATCTTAGATAAGGTTTAACACACCTCGTGCTCCTATACTTTAACGAAATTATCATCACAACTCCTATACATATATATAGTTCATAATCGACCATATATTATTGAAAGTTAATGTAAAATAACCCCTATGTTATGTTTTTTCGTTAATTTACTAATTTACGTTAGTTGACCTATGAAGGATCAATACAATGTTGGCACCTATCAATCCGAGGGTGAAAACATAACTTTGCTTTTAATTTTGTTTTTCTTGACTTTGTTTTAAGTTAAGATTATTTAAAATAATTTAAAAATAAAAAAGATAAAAAAAACGATTCAACTAACCGTGGTTTGCTAACACAAGTACAATATATTATATAACTACTAAATTTCTCTAGCAAACCTAAATTGTCAAATCGATTAATCTTAAATTTTCTTCTTTTGCTACCGCTATTGATGTAGCCTTATATCACTATTATGATTTATTCATTGAAGCCACCCTCTAGGCTTGTTGGTTAATTTGTGAACTACTTTTGGAGAATCTTGCTTAACCTCGGAAAGATTTTGATTTGATACATTCTTTGAATTGCCACCAAAATTGGTTGAAAATCTCACAAAAATTTGTTCTATTTCAAGACTTGTTAGCCTATTGAGAAACTCATCACATAAGTCTCCGTCTAATATACTTGAAAATATGAACTTGGTGCACATTAATACAATCCAAAATTCATTGATTTCTTACGAATTTGTTGGTGTTGGATATGACTATGAAGGAAATGATGTTGATGTTGAAGATCCGACTCCATTTAGTCCCCTGTTTCTCGACCAAGATTTCTAAGAAGAAATGCACCTCACTTGCTTTTTTAAAGCCTTTTTTTTTTTCTCAAATCGGATCAAAGACAAAGATTAACAAATCAAAAACCTTAACAAAAGTAATAAGAGACAAAACCAACTTCCAATAGTCGGGAAAAACACGATTAGTTGAAATTGTGGTTTGCTAATAGAGTAATAAGCTTCATTTTTAAATTATTTTAAATGATCTTAACTTAAAACAAATTCAGAAAAAAAAAAAATTACATTTTTACCCTTAAATTGGCAACTCGTCGACATTGTATTAGTATTTTATAGGTCAATTAACGAAGTTAATCAAACTAATGGAAAAATGTAACGAATGAGCTTTTTTACACCAACTTCCAATATTATAAGATCGGTTATGAACTATATTTAGGTACAGAGTTGTGACTATAATTGTGTTAAAGTACATGAGCACGAGGTGTATTAAACCCATCTTAGATATGATATTTTTTGCAACATTCAAAATAAGGTATTAAAAACATAATAATATGGAAATTAAAATAATAATAATAATAATTTGATCCATGCATTATTTTTATCAAAGCCACATACTCTTTGAATTTTTTTGATTAAGTCTCTCTATTGAAATCTTACACATGACATGGGTCACCTATTTTGAAGTGGACGCGTTACGTCGACTCACAACTAATAGTGTTATAATGGAGGGTCTCAAATAATATGAAATAAAGAGTATCGAGTCTCAATCAACACATAAAATATTATAGAATCTCAATCCAAATAATTTAAAAAAAAAATTAAAGGTATAGGTATAGACAAAACTCATCTACTATAAGTACAAAAAAAGATAAAGCTAATGGAGAACGAAAATTAATCTAGTTTAATAAACATTTATATTTACGAACAAATGGATAAACAAAATCGATCATCTATTCATCCTTAAAATTATTGAACATATGAATTGGCTACAAACAAAATCTTCCATTGTTTTTAGTATTTTTAATAGATAAGTAAAATTTTAAATAGTATTGTAGCAACCTCATGTTTTTTCCTTATTTTTGAGAAAGGAAACCAGTAAGATTTAGCTAATTTTTTTTATGTGTTTCTTCTTTAACCCATTTCACAAATCACTTACATAGTTAATTTCGAGGACCAAAATAATAACAACTTTAAAAAATTTTCATTTAAATAGCAGATTTTTTTTTTTTAATCAAAGTATGCATTTTGTTGAAGAAGTATGAACAAATTAACTATATATAAACTATAGTATCATGTTCATTATAAGGTTAGAATCTTCTCTCGCATAATTAATCCTCATTTAATTGATATGATAAAGATATAAAGATTTTTTGAAAACTTTCATTTATTTCCAATTTCACCAAAACATTTAAATTATTTTCTTACACCTTAAAATTTTCAAATCTCAAATCATTTTCTAATTTTATTTTGTCATTAAAAAAAATTAGCTAATACATTTTATTATACAAAATTATTGCCTTCTATTTTGATTTTTTTTCCCTCTCCATAAGAACCTAGAAATGTTATTTCTTTTCTTAAGGATACTTGTTTCAAACACATAACAAATGTATGTAGAATCACTAGCAACCTTACATTAAAAATCATGATATTTACTATATCCATAAATGCTTTAAATTAGTTTTTTTTGTTCGTCAACTCTCTTGATACAAAGTAAGTTATACTTTTTTAGAGTATAATTTATTCTCTTTACATTTTTTTAAAAAAATCATACATAAACTTTTACATTTCTTTATCCTCGCATGATGTTTTGATTTTCTTTCATCACGAATCCAAATTTTAGTGTTTAATCTTTCATTCAATTTGCAATCACCCTACTTTTACCCCCCCCCCCCCAAAAAAAAAAAAAAAAAAAAACTAGGCCTAGATCGGGATTGGGCTAGATAATAAACTTTGAGTTAGGAATGATTGATAATAAAAGAGAAAAATCCAAAATAGGAAAAATCCTAAGTTAAGCCTAGAAGCACCCCTATAAATATCTAAAATACACACACACAAAAAGGGAAGAATACGGATCGTCACCTAGAGGAAAAAACCTAAGCACCCCGATGAAAAAGCCAAAGATAGTAGCTAAAAAAAGTCCTCGCCTCTCCAACACATCGACTTCCAACCACCACATGTCGGCTCTTCCCGATCATCCAACCGAGATGATCCTCAAGCCACAAAATTCACCTAATTTTGACAACCAAGTAGACCTCATGCATCGTCAAAAGTTTTGCCATCGTTGTTATTCCGAGATTTGATTTGGTCCTCAAATTACTAATCAAGGTAATTACACCTCAATATTGTCACATTTCTAATCTAATTTTCATCCAAATTCTATGGTTTTGCATGATTGCTTCATTATGTCATAGGATGGTATCGACGTGAGCTTGCGAGAGCATGTGGGGACATAAAGTCGTCACCTAACTAATCGGAGAGAACTACAAAATCTTAAACAAACTAATCTACATAAATATCTAGATAAGGGATTAGGTTATAAATGAAAAGATATAACATCACCGTCATGTCGTTCCACCCGAGGTAAGTTGCATTGTTTGTATATGAAAACAAAAGTCCGGCTTTGTTATGTTATGCTTCTAAACCTATTTGAGTGAGTTTATTTTATCGGGATGGAGTAGCAAAATAATTCAGGATTTAGTGTAATCCAAGACTAGTACCCATACTTAAAAGGATAAAGATGGATAGGAATTTGAATTTAGGCTAAAATCCCGGTGATCGCAAACTCGTATAGGCAAAACACAAGTCTCTTATGATTACGAGTCCATATTGATGTAATTGAGAAACTATCGATAATTTCGT